CATTTCGTAACACACTGGTTACACATTTTCATTCAGTTCTTTACAAGTAGCTAAAAAGAATCATCCATTYAATATAAAAACAAAAATTTTGCATTCCAATACAGACACGTGACTGTTAACTGCAAAGGGCCTATTCYTTGCAAAGCTTGCGAYGCAGATGGATGATGCAGCAACCATTCTACCTTCACTAATAAAGCACAGTCCTTGACCAATCGGGGTGCCCGTACTATCTAAGCTATATAACAAATGTGTTTATAGATAAGTTAGGTCCTAGGACGAATAAGAACAAATGACTGARTGAATGACCTACCATATTTCCCCCAAGCACTGCTGACCACAGTGATTTGTCCYTGTTTCCTCTCAATCATGTAAGGCAATACAGCCTTTGTTAGGGAAATTGCTCCAAAAAAGTTAATGTTGATGATTTCCTGATCTACGTGAAATGGGGTCTTCTCTACCATCATACGCATAGACTGGCCTGCATTTTGTTGATTAATATATCAATCTGTTTGGATTAAACAGTAAAGGTGTTATTATACTAGAACCAAATGTTTTCCTAATGTTTTTCTAGCTATATTGTACCACTTGTCATTGCCTTTGAAGAAACATTGGTATTGTTATGTTTCTRTATTGGGGTTCCTGTGTAAATGTATGTACACAGTAGGTCATGGCTGGGGGGATTTGTGTCCCTCTCCCCTCCCTCCCCTCCCCCCACTACTTCTTACTGAAAGCCTGAGCATACAGGTTTTATATCTTATTAAAAAAATTTTAATAAAATAAAATAATAAAATGAAATGAAATGAAATACAATAAAATTGAATAAATTAAAGTTTAAAAAAAATCTTTTTACTTTTAACTAAGGATATAAAGTATTGATGGAGATGTTGATCATCAATTTACACTAATCATAGGCTTGAATTTCATAGAGTGCACCAAAGATCAAATATTAATGTAAAATAAAATTTTGATTGAGACCAATAATCATTATACTAAAAACTAATCATAATATTATATTACACCAAGTTGCAAGAACTGAGTTAAGCTGTCGTGTGAAAAAAGCAAATTACAAAAAAGCAAATTAGGAATTATAATTAGCAATGTAAACGATAACTCTTGCAGTTTGTCATCTTCTAATACACAGGTGAAATGAAAGCTCCCAGTAGCTATCTGCATTGCAAGACTGTAGAAAGATCTATATTCTAAAACRAGAACTTTTCAATGTTATTAATATCAGGAAAATTCAAAACTTCTTATTTGGTATTTTAGCATTTTGCTTATTTTATTTGACAATGTTCTTGCAAATACACTAGTGTAGGAAGGATGACGCATGGGAGGGGGGGGCTAATTATTTGCTAATCCAATTTCTGGGACCTCGCTATGACAATATTAGAATAAAATTTCATTGACTTTATGGAGCGCCAGCGAGCCCGTTGTGCCCGCGGACATTTGTGCCTGTCATGCGCGCGCGCCCGCGCCAGTGACGCCTGTTCATTACTGTTGTTATTGGTCGGCCATCTTGCGACTACGTTTCATTATTAAAGCTTGTTCATTCGTTTACGTCGTTCGTCGTGTTTACTGGCGGAGCTACTTCATTTTTATGTCTGCCATATTGGGCAAACAACTGACATTATATTTTGATATTTTTTATGCTGCTATGTTGCATATATATGTAGCCCACCAACCTTTTTAAAATGTCTTATCACTTGACTTGCAAGTTTTTGATGGCTTTAAAATTCCTTTACATCCAGTGGTAATACCAGGATATCGTTATCTTTGTCAAAAGGTAGGCTTAACTTTGCAGCAATATCTAGAACATATATATGACTAAAGTACTTCAATCATTTTTAAAAGTTGCATTTTCAATTTCTCTAATATGAGGACAGACAAAGAGACAGACAGACAGACAGACAGACAGACAGGCAGGCAGACAGGCAGGCAGACAGACAAAGAGACAGACAATATTTTCCGCTTTAAAAAATGACATATTTTTGGGTGACCCCCTGCCCCCCCTAACCTACGACCGACCGAAAAGCACTGGAGCGAGAGGGCCTCTTGGAAGACATGCAACGAATATTACTAGTAACGCATAATTAATTACAGTTTTWAAAAAAATTCGATAAAAAAGCTAAAGATTCACCATCAGAGATCCAGAAAATGCCACAGGAAAACCACCAAACTTACTTAGATTGATGACGAAGCAAAAAGACCGAAGACCATACGGTAAGCTTTTTACAGCTGTAAAATATTATTACTGATTCTAAACATTGTACTATCATAAAGGAATGTGTATGTAGCTACAACGCCGCTTACGAGRCAATATTTTTGTATATATTGAGGACTACAAAGGCTACTCACCCGCACATTTATCTTTTACTCGTTCAAGTTCATCTCGTTTTCGAGCAGAAAGAACCAATTTACRGCCAAATTTCACTAGTTGATAAGCAACCTGCTCACCTATACCGCCAGATGCTCCTGTAATCCAAGCTACTTTCCCTCGTAAAACCTCGCTTGCTTTGCGACCCAAAATGTTCTCATACACGTGTAGAGTAAAGTCAGAGTCTAAGTGATGGCTTAGGAAGATTATTAGCAAAGTTATTGCCAATACAATCCCTGCGACGATCAATATTGGATTCATTTTCGAACCGGTGGAGCTCGGTCACGCATGGACTAGACAACACAGGACGTCCGCTCAAACTCGTTTCAACATTCCAAAAATRTTTTTTAGAAATTTGGAGTCATCGTGCTTGAAATAAATTGAATCTCGATACTTATGGCTTAAAAATACCTATTCTACCTCTTGACTGTTAATGTCTTAATGAAGATCATAGATCATAGTAAAACTAATGGCATTTCAGAGAATATTTTATGTCATTCCGTGGTTGGGCTTCCTGTGGATCAACCGGAACCTGTTTTGATTTTTTTWAAAGGAAGATTCATTTTTTGTTGTCACTTTATATTATATCTTTATCGTCGTTTTTATCATTTAATCATCATCTAATTAAAGCTCTTGGATATAAAATGATGATTTATGATTAATATATTACTTGAAATAGTAACTTGTGGGTATATATTACGGATTTATTTAATGAATTGGAGACGATAATTTTATATTCTTTTATTTCAATAATATATATTTACAGCGAAGCATTTAGTTGAACATGCAATAACAAAAAAATAAACTCAAACGCGAAATTAAAATTTTTCTCATAAATTAACGTCATCTTCTGCTTGCTGGTCTGTTTGCATATCGATCAAACACAAAGCATTCAGTCGAGGTTGCAAGGTTCAAATTTGAATAACCCTTTGAAAGTACCTTGGCGCCTCGCTTGAGCGCTTTGACCAGTGTACCAATGTTTGGAAAATGATGATTCAGATTCACTGCGCTATCTAGTTAAGAAAAGCAGTGCGTTGACCCATGCGAATCATCGTATCGTACTCCGGATTAGAACTATTCCAATTACTGTTTATCTATTGTTTGGATGGTCTTAATGATCCACGGTCTCAATACTCGAACGTTCGCATACACTCCATACTTATGAGGTCTTCCACATCTCCTACCCCACGAAATCACACCAGCGAGATACCAGCGCCCTCTATTCTCACAGGACAGCGGACCTCCACTATCAGACTGGCAAGCATCAGCTGCACCGTCTTCAAACCCTGCGCACAAAGACGTCTTGTGTACTTGACCGTTATACGACTCCTTGTTATTGCACTGATCACGTGATACTAGGGGTACCGCAGCTTGTTTTAGGTTCTTGGCCCTAGTCCCCTTCCAGCCATTTCGTCCCCAGCCACTGATATAACACCGCTTTCCTGGAGATAAGTCGATATTTGTGCTTGGTAAACATATTGGGAAGACCTTTGCGTCGAACTTGATTGGATAGTCAAGTTGAAGTAGGGCTGAAAATTGAATCAAAACCATTGAGTTTATTTTTGGCTTTTGTTCAGCACTAAGCTGTGATGGCTTGAGAAAAAATACCTTCTGGTATATTTTAAGGTATATTTAAGCCCCGGCGACAATTAAAGCAAATCCTTCCTTAATGTACGGATTACGTAGTATAATGTTCTAGCCAAAGCATTAGGGGAGAGACTAGATGGCCCCTAGACCATATATAAAGTTAATCCCTTACAATCCAGGCCACGCACGTGGATTTGACGTGGAAAACGATCTAGTATATCTGATATATTGTTTCCATGTACAAAGGAATCAATATAGGAACTTAGCCATCAGCGAAACAAGTGGTTTGCTGGATTTACTGGTCATAGCAAGGGGTTAATCATCTACGGTCTAGGGACGACTAACATCTCCCTTAGGCTCCGACCAGGCTTCCTGATCAGTATGTAATTCCTTCTTGTATAGCGGTGTCGGGGTCGAAATCTCCGGCGTGGCCGTAAATTCTTCGCGCTGCCATGCGACAGTTCAGCATTCCATGTCTGGAAGTATGGTCTCGGATTACTTTTTTTTTTTTAAAAAAAAAAGAATAATAAATAAATAAAACGGATCAAAAAAAGCCAAAGCCCAGTTTTTTTCAGCAGAGGCGGATCATGATTTGATCTCAATCACTTTAGATAGGGCTTATTAGGAATCAGTACGCATGCGCGTTTGTAGACTGACTAAATTTTCTGACTAAATATTGATAAGCTTGGCCAGAAAAACTGGCCAAAAGGAGCCATCTTTACTGGAATATATCCGATTCTTTACTAGAATACACATACGATTCTTACCTAAGTCATAATCTAGCGGTCTATCATATTCTCCATTCACCAGAACCCCTTTAAACCTGGGGTGAACTATTAACCGTTGTACATGTCTCTTCCGCTCAAAGTGTCCGATTCCTACGGTTCTGCTTCGTTCTCCAAGAAGAACGGTCCATCTGTTTGGATCAGCTGAAGAGCGAGGATCTGTAAGGACAAAGAGTAGGTTCGGTGGTGCGAGGAAACTTGTATGTTAGGTGGATAAGACTATATTTGAAAAGTAGAAAATTTGTGGGTTGGTGTAGTTGCACGAGATAGTACTTTAAAAAAAAAGAAAATAATAATAATAAATAAACGAACGAACAAACAAACAAACAAATAAAGAAAGAAAGAAATGAA